GTTTCTTCCTTGTTAGGCTTGGGCAAACTTCTCGTATCTTCATGATTGTTTCAATGGCAGTCAAGGAGTCGTCCGCCTATTCTAGACTCAGGCAAGAGGTGAAATACAGTGACGCCAGCTAAACCCAAGTCCTTATCTTTCACCTTTTGTTGTACACCTGCCTCTGTCAATGTTGACAAGTCACTGCATATTTGTGGAACTTCTATGGCCTTTATTTCAAGTGAGTTTGAATCATACTAACTATACAAAGCAACACCTACTTTGCAATAAATATTTGCAAGGTGCAGAAAAGTTTCCATGGGCGCTATGCAGGATCTTCCCGAACTCTGGCGACATCTCCTTATGAACGACTCAACACTATGAAAAAGTCAAATCTACCCCTCAGCGCGCTGCGTTTCATTAGATACGATGAAACCAGTCATCGCATCAGGGACGGTCTACTAAGTTGGGCGGTGTTTTCAACCCAGAAGCATCTTCTTTCATTTGTTTGTCGTTTCACTGAGTCCAAAAGTGCACCCTGTCATGACTGGGGACTGGCAGTGCAAAAGATGCCCATTAGCTGAGCTCTCTCAAGCGGTGCTCGTCGACGAGAACGCTGTCTGCGTCCCATAAGAGTGCGGAAACACTCCCAAGTGCACTGTAAGGAACGTACCCCGGCGTGCCAGTGACACGCAGTCTGCATGGCACACGAATTCTGTGACACGCGGTCAGCGTTCCAGGAAAAGCGCGTGCACGGACAGAGGGGAATAAAAAGCGCGTTGCATGTGCGCAGCGGTGCTCTCTCCCTGTGGCCACGTGGCGTTCACCGCATCAAACGCTTGACAGTGACACCAACACCATCATAGTCATGAGTTGAACTCGGGTCTTCTCAGAATTAACGAGTTCGTATCCGAGTTCACGCGTCCATCAGTTTGATCGACAGACGCCCGCGGCGAATATCGAGCCCGCCCACCACTATTGCACTCGCTGAGGAGCAATGCTAATGCCGCAACGCCAACAAGTGCATGGTTCATCTACCAGCTTTATCACTCAGACTATGCACACACGCAGGCAGAAGTAAAGGTTATGTCACCGTGTGGGTACTATAAGGGATGTTCAGAATAGCGCACCACGAGCCCTTGCAGTGCGGTCGCTGCTACTGCGCATACATCATAACGCGAGCCGTTGTTCGTGTTCGTGGCCCGCCTGCAGAAAATCGGAAATAGAGTGCGGCGATCGCGGCCCGCGAAGTTGTGTGTATAGCTTCGTGCATTTGAGTTTGCGGTCGGGCCGAAAGTTCCTAGACTTTTCCCTAGGAGGAGCAAATGCTATTCTAAAACTCATATGACGCCTGCAACACCTGCGAATATTATTCTAAACCGCCCTATGTCTTATATTCAATTTAACCACGCTCATGACATATCCAATCATAGCCGTGTTACCGACATGATGCGAGCGCCCTTGGTGACCACCTGTCGTTACATTTATCTGCAATACTCGATACAAGCGAAATGAGCAGCACGAGATTGCTGCGTGTGCTGCGTTGCTGTCTTTGAGAGTGGAATTTTCTATGCTGCAGGTGGAACAAAAGGACCTGGGCGAAATAGCAGATACGCCCACGAACACGCCTGTGGGAGGCGCGTGTTAAGTCAGCAAAAATACAGCACGGCACTCATGCTGACCTCGCTGCACTGCAAAAAGGTTGAGTGAGTGGCGGGGCTGACAGTCCTTGCATGCGGTTTTTCTTTGATAACCGCCGCAAATGTCCCACATGCGTTTCCAACCCCACATGCGTTCGTGCAGCCATTTTTATCAATGCTGCTATCACGCGCTCTGCACTGTGTTCATGCCACGGCCACTGCAAGCGAGCTCACAGCACACTCGGCTGCCAGAAAAGCTTGGAATCCCGAGATGAGTGAGCTGCTCTTCGGCTACTATAGTGGCTTGCAGCTTCCTAGACAAGTCTTCCATGATGAAGCTGCGTTCGCTGACCCCATATACCAACATTCTTACTAGGTGTATTCTTCCAATGCCTTGAGCCCAAACTTCTGCAGTCTGCAGAAGTACTGCATTCTTGAGTCGATCTGTAGAGGTAGATGAGATGTAAACAGTTGCCCACGTCTTCGTCTCCATTTTTTGTCGCACAATGGTGTAATATGTCGTTCCTGGCACAGCTTAATCTCTTCCAGCATTTGAATTCCTTTGATCTATGAAATGGCCTAGCACTTCAGAAGCAATATCCCAACTTGGACAGGTATCCACCAAGTGATATCTGCCATCGCAGAGCGTACAAACCTGTGGAGAGAGTTTTACAGTCAACATAGACAGCCTCCATTGTCTTCATTAGATTTCGATTGGCCAGTTAAGGCTCGTTTTTTACGGTCTACCATTCATCCGTGACACTTGTTCCCGACTTCTCACTTCAATGCTGAAGAAATCTAAAATAGACAACTCATCTAGTTGGCCACCAGTACTGCTTGTATTTGTAGAAGAAAAGATGCGCCAAGTATAAAGAGCACCATTTCTTGTGGGAGATTCTGTATTATTGCTGTTTTCAGCAATAACTCCATACTTTTCTGCTTGGACACCAAGTTTTTGAAGGGATCTCACGCGGGTTGGCACTGCTTCATACAGCCTTTGAATCCCTTCCAAATTATCGCATAAGTGGGCTTTACAAAACTTTGTGAAGGTTTAGAAGCTGGCACATGTGGTCACTGACAATTGGCGACTTATGGCCAAATCTTTCTTTTAGACGATTTATAGCTGTGCTACAACTTTCATTGGCTAATTACACCTTCCACTTCACCCGACAGCTAGCTAGGGAGATACTTCAACTTGTCTATGTCGGTGATGTATCGGTTTAGGTGAACGATTGACTTAAACTGATCCCAAAATTCAGGCCATCTAATGGGGTAACTATAAAACTTCAGTATAGTATCATGCTTAGGAAGCTTAATCTGTGCACGGGCTTGAGGCAAGTGGTCGTGAAATGCGTGGATCATAGAGTTTCATACAATAATACCTTGAGTGGAATCTGGCGCTAGTGTCTACGCGGGCTCCTTCCGTGGCGTTTGTACTCGCATGGAAATGATGGAAAGCACAGGCTTTGAATCTGCTTTGAATGGATTACGTTCTTGAGATTAGTGATGCTTGTTTGCTGAGCGTAAAACAAAGTGATATGAAGGTATGTCTAATTGAAACTTGCTTCATTTTTTGTACACAAACTTTATTGCAAAAGGTTTTTGTGACTAGGCGGTAGAAGTGAAACCTGGACAAATTTAGTCACCAGGCTATGCATTGCTCTGCCATTGCGTTCCAGATTTGGCATCAAGATGTAATGAATTATTTTTTTACATTTCAAAACAAACCTTCTTGTTTTGCCCTCGAAAGTACGCAATATCTACTTATGGACATAACAGCACAGTAGTAAGTGAGAAACACTTAATGTTTTGCCTGCTGCAAAGCCAGGTGCGTCTGTTCAAGTGGTGTGCCCCAATGCACCTCTCGTTTTGTTGTGGACTCGAGTCAGAAGAGCATAGCGATGTGTCCACTTCGCATCGCCATCGTTTTGCAGCTGATTTCAACAAGTTTTGGCAAGACGTACTAAGAACAAACGTGAACTCGATGTAATATCCTGCACTGACATGGGACGCAACATCTATACGCAGCGGTGAGTGGACGATGCTTTGCTTAAACTGTCAAACGCAACTAATACTGCTCCAGCGTTGCAGTAAAATGAGAAGCCTAGCAGTTTTCAGCTTCTGTGAACAACAAAGGCACAGCTTCAGTCCTTTGCACCCACCCCACTACCCACTCTACAGGAAGAACGAAACTGAAACGGTAGAAAAAGATCTGTAGACAGTTCGCTGGCTAACATGATCAAATACGAAGCCTGTACTTCCCATAATTCCCATGAGGGTACACGATTGCAGCGCCGGATTCCTTTCTAGGTATTATTGTATAAAACTATATGGTGTTTATAGCTACCGCTTAAGTTGCGGATAAAAATACGTTTGGCCCGAGACTTCACAAGGACGATGGAATCTTGTTATTTCCCGATGCTTTGAATCTCATTCTCAAGGTTTTCGTCAGTAACATGCTCTTCTATTTGGCTGTCAAGGTTCATATCCATTGTATCCTTGATCATCAACGGGTAAAGATGATAGCTTAGCTCAGCGGATGGCATTGTTTTGATCTGCATAAGAGTACTCATGTCGTTGATGATTGCGGTGACCATCACTTAAACCATAGTGCGTTTTCGTCATAGCTTTTCCATGTCATCACATCGGGAATGGAAGGGCTCATGATGACGTGGGTCATTAGTTTCTCTCCCAGGCCATCGTGTTGATTGCTTCGATTGGCCATCCTCTTCAGGGAGCTCATTTCATCGTTAAATGTCTTAAACTGTTTGTTTCATCCTAGTCAAGGCACCATGTTGATGAAAACGAGGAAGCGAAGCAGAAGTAGAGAATATCTTGTTTACGTCGGGTTCAAAACTGAAGAAAAACGGCATTCAAGCGCGTGCTCAGGTCCACACTCGCTTGTTACTTCTTTGTCATTGCCCCTCTTCCGAAATGATACTTAAGTGTAGTATAATGGCATGCTAATAAGGTGACAATGGGGGCTAGTTGGTACGTTTTCGTGCTTGTAACGTGCTGCAGGGTGAGGGAATAAAAGGAAACCAGTCTCCCTTACCTTGCAGCTCATCACAAGCATGAGGTTAGTGGCCTGTCTGAGAGCAAGATTTGTAGTTGGGCAGTCCACTTAAGGTGTTCATCACAGCACTCCATAAACTGTTGGATTGAAAAATGTTTTTAGGTACCCAAGGTAGTACAGTATGCATTTTCGAATTAATAAAAACTGATAAAAGGCAACCTTAAATTATATAATTCTGCTATGTTATTATCACTGCAGACTTCATAAATATGTACTGTATTTCAGTTTGTGCTGAGTGTATTTGCTAAACCACAGGAGAGCTTGTTTTTTAATTTTACCTTATTATGTATTCTGGTGTCTTACAGATAAAGCTGCTCCTAAATAACGGTGCTGAAATTGAACACGTGGATCTGAAAGGTACCAGAGCTCTTGATCGGGCAATCGGCACCGGAAACCTTGATGCCATCAACTGCTTTCTACAAGCAGGGGCCAAGATAGGTGTGTTGCTTTTGCTGCTGCTCATGTTGTGTGCTAAGTGTTCGTTAAAGAACTGCATGCCTTGGCTACGTGGTTTTGCAATGGTAGAATATCTATAAATGTCACGCCATAAAGCTGATTTGCAATGATCCAATTACACACTGTACATTTTCTTATTTACCGTCAACCTTCCTTTTCAGGATCACAAACATGGGAAATGGCAGCTGATAAACCTGACGTTGTGCACCTTCTGTTGAATAAGCTCCATCAAGATGGAGCTCTTTTATACAGAGTAAGTGTGGCATCCCTCTGAAGCAGTCACATGGGACTGTTATCACAGCTAGGTGATGGCAATTTCAGTGGAGCATGTTAGCAGAGCTTCAGATCTGTCGGACAGCTGTACTATTTGATGCATTTTAGCTTCCAGGCACGCTGCATTCTCACCTAAATGGCTACATAAAAAAATTAATGCGTAGTGGCCATGTTGAGTCACATTTTAGTTTGTGCAAAGCTGGCAAAATAGACACCTTTGTGAAGATGGCTTCAAAGTAAAAAAAATCACATAAGCTTGGAAACTTACTTTGAGGACATCTAGCTGCACGAAAAAAACATAGCTACATTTTTTTCGAATTACTCAAGTAAACTCTTACGGGTAAATATCGGTTTACACTCTTGAAGTCTTAAAGTACAGCAATGACATTCACTTTTCCCCAGTGACTCTTTTTGTTGTTATAGACACGACACAGCAGAAAATCAGACGTGTTTTGCAAATGTGTTTCATTTTGTGGCCCCAAACCTGCCTTCCTGGAAATCAGTGTAAACCATATTCAGTGTTCAGTTGAGTGCCATAGGCCACCACTGTGGGACTAACTGCGATGGCATGCAGTGATATTGAACCACTTCCACTAAAACACATAGGCATAATTAATTTCAATATATTAGTGCACTTTTGTGGGATTGTTTTTTGATTGTGTGCTTACAGAAAGGCCACATGAAGGAGGCTGTCCATCGGTACCAGTATGCCCTGAAGAAGTTTCCTGCATCTGTTGTCGAAGACGCAGACAGTGGAAGCATATTTTTCCAGCTGAAGCACCAGTTGCTGCTCGGACTTGCCAAGTGCAAGAGGAAATTGAATGTAAGCTCTGTATTTATTGGGCCTGATTGTAGATGGGGCCTGAAAAAAATGTGGGTGATGCAGGCCTTTTCACAAAAAAATGTAAACTTGGTCAGTTCAATATTATTTAACTATTCCTTCTACGATCATCATCGGCTTGCCATTTTCATTTCTAACTGTTTCGCTTTGTCTGACCACAGTGTTTGGCAGGCAGTAAAAAAGGGGTGAAACAAAAAGAGAGTAATATCCACAAGATACAGCAATTAGTTTAAAAATGAAACCGGATATCACTTCTCGCTTCACCGAATAAGGTATACGTAGCATCTAGATACAAGTGGCCAAAACAGGCGTCTGACATTCAGGCACATTTTCATTTTACCACAAATTCTGCTCCAGTCAGTTTGATGAGTAATCTGATCCAATCCAGTGCTTCACTGGTTTAATCCACTTTTATCTTGCAGATTATTTTAACTGAACTCATTTCACATGTGCAAATGTCATGTTTGCCCTCAATACATGAGTTACAATAAATTTTATAACATTTTCGACGGGAACAAAGCTCAGACAATATTGGATGAGCATGCTGTTTATTTAATTCACATCGACCATGTGCAGCCAAAGAAAACTGAGTTTATATGGTTGAGTAGTCACGGTGTTACCAGCTCGACACAGTATTTTTGTTGCTGGGCCTGTTGTATGAAAACCTATCTCAGACAAATCGCACACCTTTTGCCTTGAAGATTCCATATGCTTCAGATAGCTTGAAAGTGACTCATTAGTTTGACCTACAATATTTCTGAGTAATGTTTATGAGATCTAATAGACAATCATGCCAAGGAATGTATAGGAGACATTATTAGAAGTAATCGTAACGTAAATGTCAAGAAAGAAAAGTGGACGAAAATATGACTTGCCTTGGGCAGTGACCGAACTTTGACTTTCCAATAACGCACCTGATGCTCTCCCAACTGAGTTACAGCAGCGGCTATCCCCCCTTCCACTGAATGGGGTATATCTGTGCATTAGACGTTACTTTTCTTGGCATTATTGTCTGTATTGTGTCTAACAAAAAAAAAAAAAACGAGCCCTAGGGCTCGCTTTTTTTGGAAGCGAAACGTTTCGCTTCCAACTGGAAACTGCAATTTACTATTATTTTCAGCTGATAATAGAAATTTTCCAACTGAAAATGTAAATCCAGCTGTAAATCTAGCTGGAACTACCTATTTCTAGGTGGAAACTTGCATGCCATTTTCACGTGTGTTTAGATGTACACTTTTTCTTTTTAAGTACCGTATTTACTTGATTCTACCGCGTCCTCAATTGTAACGTGCACCCGATTTCCACGACGAAAAAAAAAAAAAAAACGTAAGACATCGATTGCAACGCGTACCCATTTTTCTCGCTGGCCCGCACGATCACACCACCACACGAAAAAACGACTCCTTTCGGGAGCGCCTTCCATTTAAATATGAGGTACGGGCGAAGCTTGTGCCCATCTGATTTGCCCAAGCAGGTAGCCGTTGTTGTGCCGCAAGTTTAGGACGAACCTCTGAAATCTGTGAAGCTTTTCATCGTACTCCTTCGCAAAACTTTTCGCATATGCCCGTTCCCCTTTGGAGGGAAAAGCCTTTCCTCTTCATAAAGTTAGTTAGCCAGCACCTGCTCTCTTTAACTGGCTCCGCATCAGACCTTTTTCTAAGGCTAATTGCATAGCCCGCCCTTGGAGCAGTTCTGTCGTCACGGGCTGCTGTGCCGCTCGCTGCTCAAGCACATACTAGTCGAGCAGCTCTTTAATTTGCGGAAACGGACCCTGCTGTGGTCCACTGAAGCCTTTGCGTGAAGCTTCGCTGTCGACAATCTTCTGCTTTTGTTTCCGCCAGTCCCGCACGCACGTTTCGGGAACTCCGAATGACTGCGATGCGACCCGATTTCCGTCCGTTTCTGCACACGCGATGACTTCCCTTTTAAAAGCGGCATCGTGGTGCACTCGAGTTTTTGGAGTCAGCCCTTCCATGCCATCGATGCTAATGCACTACAAGATGACACGTATGAAGTGCCGCACATGGGAAACACATAAGCAGAAATGACGACACGCCATGCCGACGCACGTAGGGGGCAACTATTTCGGAAATGCTGATGGCAATAGAATGACTGTATTCATTTTTTTTTTCATACTCGATTCTAACGCGCATGCAATTTACGAACTCGCTTAACCGGAAGAAAGGTGCAGTTAGATTCGAGTAACTATGGTAATATCTGTGATACACATGATAAATTTGTTGTTTATCTTGTGTGCAGGAACCTGATGCAGCTATCTCAGCTGCAACTCAAGCCATCGAGCTTCGACCAAAGAGCTTTGAAGGCCACTTCATTCGAGCTAAAGCATTCAAGGACAAAGGGTAAGGGTAACTGACTTATATGTTGTTTGTACTATAGAGTTTTTTACAATAAATTGCTAATTGTAGGAAATTATTTCTGTCACTCCTAATTTTCAAGAGCAGGATTTTTATTACCATACTTGACATCATGGTTGCCCAGTGGCTATGTGTACCCACTGCATTGTGAGCATGAGGTAGTCCGTTCAGTTATAACTGTGACAGCTAGATCGCTTACTGTGATGGGGCAATGCTAGTGTACCTAGATTTTGCAATATGAAACCTGATCTGTAGTTTCACATGGCAGCATACAGCTCATTGCATCATAATGTTTTATGTAAAATCCCAGAACGAAACATAGGCTTCCTGTACACACACACTGGATGGGAGCATATGTGTCACTTGTGTACGCAGTGTTTTCTAAACTCATCTACAGCCGCAGAGATGTTCTGGGACCTTCACTAGCAAAGCAAAGTGAAATTATTTTCTCATGAAGCAGGATGTGATATGTTGCAGTGCTATTGCAAATGACTCCTCCAGGAATGCTGTGCCTATGATCCCTTCCAGAACCACAATCTTCTCAAGATTCAGTGATGCCTCTTTTATGTGTTACCATCATAATAGTCACAAAAGATGTGCTGCATGTGTAGCATATAGTTATGCGTCATGTAATGTAGCAAAACTGTTCTGAATTCATTTCATCACATGAACTGCTTCGCACTTCTATTGCTGTCTCTGTTGAGCTTGCCATGAAATGCTGAAGACAATGTTAAAGCAATAATTGATGTTATGATGCCTCACAAAATGGTAACAGCGACGAACTCCTGGTACTTAGGGGAAATGCGAGTCGGAAAACTCAAGTTTTTTTTTTTTTTTCAGAAATTACATTTTGCGTTTGTACTTGCTTTCAGAAGTTTGGTTTCTCTACTCACACAAAAAGAGAAAGAACTGCATGATTCTAATTAAACCTAAGGTAGGCTAAAATCGCTCTTAAATTTTAAGAGCACAAGGTGACTACTAAAAACTAAAGAGAGCTCACTGCCTAGAATCTATTGGAAATAGTCTCCTGGCTGCTTGCTATCACATTTCGCATGAGGAACTCACTAAAGCCACACGCTGAAAATAACGATGATTGCCAAGCTTCTCATGGCTGAAGAAATTACCTTGAATAATGTATCTTTCCACATTGATGAGCTCTCACTTATACCGTCTAAAATGCATTTTTCTGAAGATCCATTCTGGGGCAACTTCTTGAATTTAGACATGATGTTTTTGGTTCTTCTGGTGGCCTGATCGGAACTAAATTTTGCCGACATACTCCTTAGAGGGCCAGTAAACAACCCCAAGGTCCGAAAATTGTTGTAAAGAGAAATATGTGCACTTTTACTTCGTGAACATGCTGCCGCAAGAATTTTGTGAGTACGTACTATATCTAGAAAGTTACAGGGGCTAGAACATCGCTTTCAGCTGGTTTCAAATTTTCGCGCAGCCTCACCACCCTTCTCTTTCAGAGGAAGGGAAGGCGTTGCCCGTTGTCATGACTCCGCTCACTTCAGCAATGTGACAAGACGTTCGGCAATCGACATCATTGGCGAACTTGATCAGTCGCAACGCACTTCCCCTTGATGCGATGGCTGGTTGTTTACTGTTTACTCGTTGCTGATGCTTCTCCGTAGCCCAGTTGCTCGATTTGCAGCCGACAACAATTTGCTGCAAAACTGGGTTTCAAAACAACTCAGACATCAAGTTGGCCTTGATTTTTTTGGAGCAGACTGTCGCGCCGTCTGAGAGCAGGAACACAAAACAAAAATAATGCGTTAAATAGTGGGTGTGCTGATCAACATGTGATGCAACAATCTGCTCAGTCCTGAAAACTAGACCAGTGACATGTCCCGATCTCGATACATGGAGCGGAGTTTCGTAACTCATAATTATTGAACAGCTCTGTCGTAGCTGTGGGCGGGAATAGGTGGTATTCACCTTTGAGCAACAATTTACTCCCGCAGCCTACGCTTCGGCTATCCACACAGCATGCGGGCAGTGCAGGGAAGCCACTACTTCCGGCCTCTATGACTAAGGTCATGTACACATGTGTGACTCTGCGTGATACTGATGTCGAGCCGTTTTTTGTGGTCACCATTCATTATCACGTTTGACTGTGCCATATATGTGTGCAGCCATCGCTCAAAATGGAAGGGTCATGACCCTGAAGACTCAAGACCGGTTAAATTTTATTTCTTGTTGAACGTTATTCGTGGTCATGTAGCCGTACACTGCAGGTTACGGTGAAGCGTCCTGGTGAGTGATTCAGCCATCTTCCCCAGGCTGATTTTAACAAGGCTGTGGGGTGAGTGCTTGAGAGTGGTTCACCTGCGAATGGAAACTCAGTTGACTTCAGATTCTGACAGCTTTGACTGATTCAGATGCGAACGAAACACGGAAATAAAGAAATCACAATAACACAGTAAAGGCACTCAGTTTCAATGCTCTAGCAGAGACGACTGCGAAAAGCACAACACGGCGGAGTACTCAACGTTGGGCTATTCATAATATTACGTACGTGATACACCGCGAGCTTAAATTAGAGGCACACACTTTTGTCATTCTTGCTAAAGTGGCCTTGATCAGTACACTTGCGTCAAAGCACACGTGACTTGTAACCTTGGTCTAGTGAATAATTTAATGCCCCTAATGCTTTTCATTGGAGTGATCAAAGCTGTGGGTGAGCCAACCACATTGAAATTTTCAGGCTCGTGTGCACTTTACCACAATATAATTTGCCCCATTGCAATGGTGTTTTTACATGCAAGTTCGTTGCTTCATGATTATCATGTTTGCATATGTCGTTTACATTCGTCATCTCTTCACGTCAAGTGATCCCAAGTTTAGTATATGTGGAGCTAGCAAAGGGGCTACGAGCATGCTGTGAGCGTGGTATGTTGTCATGTTCTTACATGACACGCGTGTCAGGATTATCATGTTTGCACCAGTCATATACTTCATCATCCATTAATGTCACGTAATACCTGATTTGGTATGTGTGGAGCTAGTAAAACGGGCGCGAGCACATCATGAAGAGTTCATTATACTCCAATGTAGCGTTGATGCGCATGCGCGCTGGGCACAGCGACACTCCATTAGCAAAACGCGAGCACTCTATATTCTGATGCCAGGCGCGACCAGCGTCCGTCACCGCGGCCCGACGATAACCGGCGCGAAACGCGACATGCTGCGTTTCGCGCCGATGCCATAGAGTAACATTACTCTATGCCGACGCGTTACTCAGACAACTCTGCGTCTCACTCTTGTTGTGACGAAGGGACGCCGGACGCGCTGAAACGCGCATGCGTCAAAACAACACAGCACGACGCGCGCCTGCGAGTATATGGCAGGACCGGCGTCTGGCGTGGCAACGCCTGCGTGATGCGACGAAATGAACGCCGGCGAGGACGTGCACCACGTCATTAGCGCCTTGATTGTGGCATATAGTCATGTTCTCACATGACACGCATCTCATGATTATTAAGTTTGCACCAGTCACATACCTTTGTCGTCCATTGGCGTCACATAATACCAAATTTGGGATATGTGAAGCTAGCAAAACGGCCGTGAGTGAATCATGAGTGTGGCATGTAGTCATGTTGTTACATGACACGCATGCCATTATCATGTTTGCATGTGTCATTTACCTATGTTGTCCGTTCAGGTCGCGTAATACCTAGTTTGGTACATGTGAAGCTAGTGAAACGGCCGCAAGCGCACCATCAGTGTAGCATATAGTCATGTTGTTACATGACACACATCTCATGTTTATCAAGTTTGCACCAGTATCATACCTTCGTCATCCATTCATGTCCCGTAATACCAAATTTGGTATAAGTGAAGCTAGCGAAATAGCCTCCAGCGCATCATGAGCATGCCATGTAGTCATGTTATTACATGACACGCATCTCATGATTATCATGTTTGCACAAGTCACATACTTCGTCATCCATTCACGTACTGTATTACCAAATTCGCTATATGTGACGCTAGGGAAACGGCCGCGAGCACATTATGAGCGTGGCATGTAGTCATGCTGTTACATGACAAGCATGCCATGATTTTCATGTTAGGGTCTGTCGCTTGTATTCGCCATGCAATCAGGTCATACCATACCAGTTTTGCAGCATGCAATGGGATCGAAACCAGCGCAAGAGCGTCAGGACCATCAAATGTAAATCATGACATTCATGACATACATGTCATGATTTTCATGTTATAGTTAGTCAAATATGCTCTTCATACAGTCATGTTATGCCATACCAAGTTTGGTATTGATATCATTATCGAAACAGCCAGGAGAGCTAAAAGTCGTAGGCGGCCAGATAGACAGATAGATAGGCTCAAAGTCGCCAAAGTTTGCTAAGAAATGCTTCGCATTTAAAACTTTCCCCTCACTCGACCTTGGGAGGGAGGACATGCCGGGACAGATGTATGGATGATGATGGGTTGATGAGTTACGTGAGACTCGGACCAAGCGCCTTCGCGCGTTGCGTCTCATTCCTATCTGACAAAGGCATGGTGCTGTCGAGTGCCTGCTGCAGTAAAGAAGTTTCGTTCCGGACTAATTTGTGGAGCGGGTGTGGTGATCGTTTTTTCGCTGTGTACTTCAGAAAAAGCCCCGCTATGGCTCAGGACAGCGAGCTCGCGGCGGTCAACGGCGGTTGCTGGGTCACCGGTGTAGGCCTAACTCACGTACGAGCCCGTCAATTGTCGAAAACGTTGCTGAAAGTGGCGGTGTTTTAGAACCTCAACAGTTTCAGGATGACTAGTAAAAAAACAGAAGTGAAGCTACAAGAGATAGCAATCTTTGCAGTGACGAAATGGAAGTGCAGTCTTATCGCTAAACGCACCACTGCCTCGATCCCTTCGCCCCCCCCCCCCCATCTCACAAAACGACCTCATTGGTGTGTGAACTGCGTGACGGGTCATCATAGAATAAAGAACCAAATTATAGAAGGGAAACTGTAGCCTTGACAACAGTACGCAAGATAAGCAGCGGTGGTGCATGGAACTGCCAAGGGCAACCAAGAGATGGCATGGGGCTAAGTAAACAGGAAGCTGAAAACATTTTTTTTTGTTTGTTTTTTAGGTAGCAAATAAAATGGCCACCTTTTTTATTTCGTACCAGGTACGAAATAATGCGGTTGCCTTGGCTGAATTATTTTACGGCTATTCTTTTTTAAACAGAAGTGGACGAAAGACACCGGGACTTGTGCAGGACTACGGGTGTCTCGTTATCTTTCGCCCTATTGTTTTAAGCACATTGATACGCCCAGCAGCACACCAAAGCGTCCTTCGGAACGCAGTACCTGTGCGTACAATGGTTACATGGAACCGAAAAGCATTCAGTGGCAGCTGACACCAGTAAGAACAATTCACGAGTGAGTACAATGGAACAATATTTATTGACAGCAAACCAGCAATCACGTTCAATGCAAAAAAAAAAAATCTATCGTGTTAGAAGCATCATCGCGAGTTCGCAAATGGCACCCCTTTGTTTTCAAATACAAAACGAACAGAAAAGCATGTCTCATTGGTTGGAACTATCATTACAAAACAGTCGTAATAATCAGCATTAGGTGCTTCAGTAACAGCTTTGAATTATAGCTCCTGCTTTCGCCAAGCACGGCTTCAACACCCACACTTTTTATTGCATTACGACATAGTGCAGTCAAGCTGAAGACCCAAGGAGGTTGGGTTTTTCGCACGTAAATCATGGTGGAGCGAAAGTCGAGAGAAGTGTAAGCATTTGAACACGTGCAGGATAAATTCAAATGAAAGTAGTGCACAAATGAACGTAGTGCACACAACACTGACAGCGATAACATGGTCTGAGAGTGAGTTTACCGACAAAAATAACAAATATGTGCGCATTGGCGAAAATAATCTACCTGTAATCGGCGTGAAACTTGCAGAAATCGATGCCTTCAGCGGTATGACAATTCCTGCAGCACCATACAGCAGTACAGCGACTATACCTACACAGACACTGCAGGGACTTACTGAAGCGAATAAAAATGTGCTAGAAAGAAAACAGAAGGCTGAGGACCACACGAACCACCGTATAACCACTAACTGTGCATATGCGCTTCAGCAACAGAAAGTCAATCTGAAGCAACACAAAATCAATCTGTTCACGGTGAGCGTGCTCGTCCGTGCAATGGAAGCTACTGGCAACAGGTAGAGTGCTTTTAACGACGCTTCTGCAACGATGAACCTATTGTGCCGCGGTCTCCACTCAAAAATGTTGCAATCTTGCGTGAAAAGGAAATTAGCACCTCGCTGCTTTTGCACCCTTGAAATTGATGAGAGAGTGCGCGAGTTTGGTCTTCAACATGTACAACTTAATCTGGACAAGCCTGAAAACATCGCTTTATCATACGAAGGATCGCGGATGAGTCGCCCACATTTGTCGCACATCGGTGTCAGTACCTCACTGAACTGATAAGCGGCCTAGTTGGCAGACGAGCACACGGCAACAACTAGCAGCATAACTTAATAGAAACGGCACAGTCATGCTAACAGTCAGTCTGTTTGCATGCCTGGTGCATATTAACTGACTAAAAGTATGTGTGCCATGGTATTTTTCACTCGAAACGGCGAAATAAAAGTTTTCACCGTTTTTTTTTTTCTCATTTTCTCAGAACACAAATTTTGACCACTTTCCTTGTTTGCTTCTTCTGTAAAAAGGGACCTAGAACACCTAGAGCTGTAATTCTTTTTGCACAATGTAGTTTATTGGGCACAGAAAGCAGTGCATTATGCAGCTCTGATTTTTAAAAATCTTCATTATATTTTTTTTGTTTTTGGTTACATGCAGACAGTAAAATTTGTTGTGCTGTAATTCGAGAAGTACTTGTTCAATTTTCGATCAGCTTGCAGCATTGCACTCCTTAGTATCCATATATGTGTTTATGACAACGTAATTTTTGTACATAAGTTTGCATATTTTGTGCAAGACATACAACATAATTACTAATTATCTAAAAAATAATTACCCTGCATAAATTATACCTGGATAGTTAAAACAAGCTCAAGTTTGAACAAGGCTGTGTAGCTTCACCTAATTTGGTGAAAAAATAACCGATGTTATTTTTAAGACCCATGTCCCCCCTTGAATATTCGAGTCCAGATGCACAAGAATCTCTCGAAATTCGCCGATCTCGTGAAGCGGTCGCACGCGACGTCGATGCCAAGACTGAAACTATGCATGCTCACTTGAGCACGTGGGAAGGTGCTTTGAAATCACCAAACCGTGACAAAAGAGAAACACTAAAGCGAAACTGATAAAATACTTTTTTCTTTCACGCGTTAGATAGTGCAAGGGATCCAAAAGCATCCGAAACTGGGCAAATATACAAGTTTTAATCATCGAAAACATACTATCGATGGGGATAAGCATGGTCACGAAAGTGTTAAAGGAACCCTGCAATACTATTTGAGCATGCATTTTTTATCCGTTCTTTTGACGCCGTAGAACGCGCCGATATCATTGCGCTAGTGGCAACGCCAAAATCGACGTTGTTGTAATTTTAATTCATGAGACAAACTACCTTGATCCGACTACAGCGACACACATTGGTTATTTTTTTGTGGGAAGTGACATCATGTTATGTGATGTGGCGACAAAGACCATTCGATTTTTATTGGCTTGACACGACGAATAGTGTGCAATATTCATATGGTGGGAGGCTGTATGAGTGAATGCTAAAAAACAGCAAAATCTGCCTTTACACTTTCTCAGAAAGAAATCATTCCTTTTTTTAAATGATGTATTATCAGAACAACAAACACAACACTTAGCCTGCAAACGATGATATGGTACGCCCGCAACTAAAGGTAGAAATACATATGCCACATCTTTAGCGAGCCAAGAATGCGACAGGTGGTGGGTGCCAGCTTTTTCATGAAACGCGTCTTGCAATCAAGCCGAGAAGTGACCCCGCCCAAAGTGTATGTGTGTACCTTACACAGTGTAACCGTGGGAGTGTCTGCTACCCAATGCATGTGGTTAATAGTAGAGTTCACTAAAGTTCGTAGTAGTAATCATGCTAACGACACCGTCAAAAAGAGTGGTAGCGAGGTTATTGTGTGAAGGCCACCATGAGGTGACATTTCTGGTATGTCTTTATGAGACGCGCGCTGTGATTGGAAGCGTTTTTTGACATCAGCAGGGGAGTGAAATGCAAAAGAGAACATTTCTATTCGTGGTCTGCTGGAGTTATGAACTTTGAGGACTCACAACTTCACTTTTCGTGCACCAATTTCTATCGTTCTTGTTGCTTCAATACGTGCTTTCTGATTCTGAATAAGGTTGACCCAAAAGTATTGCAGGGCCCCTTTAACATGTGAATGGAGCAAATATCTTTTAAGACTTTATAACACCTGTCTAATTAATATGAACTCAATGTAAGCATTTAGTACGAGCTGAGAACTGTAGGAATTCTCACATTTTTCTTGTCCATTAAAATGTTTGATATGCATCTTCTTCATAATTATTTTCATTCAGCAGTTAATGTAGAGCAATAAGAGCCATTATTGGCTCAGAACCATAAAAGTTTAGTGGCATTAAAAATTTGTCCTAAACAAACTATTCTTTACACATTGTCATGGCATGGAAATAAAGCTGCAATTTACCACTAATTGCAAATCATATTTAAGCATAAAAGTCTATATATACAGCAAAAATTTCATTGCCCTAGCCTATAGAATAAGGCAACTTTTCTTTGGAATTGCATGTCCCCTTGAAGAACGGCACATGCTAAGCACTTGCAGCAGTCACTTCAGGCGTAGAGATATCATTTTTTGGTGTGGCTGTATGTAGGGAATACTTAAAACAATTTGTGTGGATCAAAGGCTAATGTGATTTGCAAAGAGGCAGACTTAGTGAAAGAAAGAATGAATGTGCATTATCATTTCCTGTGTCGCAGTTACTGTGAAAAATACCAAATCTTTCTTATATTCCATGCTAATAGATACCGTTCAACACATACATACCATGTTAATAGCCAGCCATATCATTACATGGTTGGCCATAAACACCTGTGCCAATAGGTGATTTCCTTAATTTTTAAAACTTCGTTTTTATTTTATTGTGTGCGTGTTTTTTTTTAGTTTCCATCTCACCACAGCACACAAGGACCTACTTTATTGTCTGTTTATAGTAAAATACATTATTTGGCATTTTGCAGGTGCCAAGCTGAGGCGCAAGCAAACATTGAAGAAGCTCTCAAACTGGCCCCCATTTCAAACATTGAGCAGCGACGAACACTAATGAAAGTGCAGGAGGAAATCAGAGCGGGAGATCTTGACTTCGTTTGCACTCAGTACATGTCAACAAGAAGGTATGTGACTTTTCAGAAATGCTGCCATTAGATAGACTAACCGATTATTGCCCTCTCTGCCGTGCCCTGCTTGTACTTCGTAATATGCTTAAGACTCAAGATTGTACAAATTCTATATCACTGTCAAAAAAAAAAAAAAGAAAGTGAGACGTCCTTGCGGGGCTTTCCGTCCTCTGTTTTTTGTTTCTTTTCCTCCTCTGTGAATATTCGTACAGCCTTCATGAAGGATGTTAGGACATGCAACAAATGCGCTCGTGAAACGAGATCACTGAAACACTGAAACAAAATCATGAGACTGCAGGGATCAACTCAAGCTATATTTATTTATGCGCGACATACACTTCCCCGGATATATATATATATAAGAGAAAGAAGTGTATACATAAGGGCTCGTTTTTCCGTGTTTTGACACAATATTAATGAGAGCTAACAGACTAGTACTCAATAAGTAAAATATATATATATATATATATATATATATATATATATATATATATATATATATATATATATATATATATTAATTATGGGATTTAACAGACAATAATGCCAAGGAATTCCTTGGCATTATTGTCTATTAGATCCCATCCATTAATATTGTGTCAAGACACTGGTCAAGTGACAACCACGTTTTTATTAAGTTTACACATCGGAAAACCACGGCTGCTCTAGGGCAGTCGAGTGCACGTGACGTGCTTTCGTTTGAGCGAGCACAGGGGCCAATTTGTCGAGAATACGTAGTAGAACAAATAAACAGTAATGGATGACAGAACCGGGTGACCGAGACTGCCAGAAGACAAGCGCATTAGACTGCTATCGGGATTCGCCAGTGCCCATGGAGAGGCTAACATGAAAAGACCGAACGGATGGTTTTATTGTCGATAGACACAGAAGCCAAAAGTTAGGCGCATAAGCTGGAGCAATTGCAAGTTGTTTTTTATTATGCAAAAGTGTAAAGAAGAAAAAAAATGAAATGCCAGGATCAGCCCTAAATTGAGAATAAATAAAATATTTTCACTCATCTTGTTCCGGTTATGTGTTCACTGTTGAATTAGTTGCATTATCATAAGAATGCCAGGACAGGAAAGAGACGAAAACACTCAAAACCACAGCAATGCCAGCAGTTGTGTTTGCATTTTGCAGCATTTCATTGCTCTTTTCGTCTTTTTTAAGTTTTAATAGTATTTACTTTGTAACTGTTCGCTCAACCGCTAGCATTGAAATTACAGTCACTGAAATTTCTAAGAGGCTTGAGTCCACTGTTATGAGATCGCACACATGCTAAGTATATTTCGTGGCTGTTGCACCTGATACTGCATTGTATGATTACTATAGACGTGTTTAGAAGTGAGAAGTCTACAGTCAACTGCCAATTTTTCGGACCCTCTAAGGAGCGAAAAACCGTTCGAAAATTTGGGCAGTCCGAAAAAATGAATGCAAGCAAAAAAAAAATGCATTATTTTACTGATAATTTTCAATGCAAGTAAAAAAACGCACCATTTTGCTAATATTTCTCAATGCAACCAAAAATTGCACCATTTTCTTGATATTCCTCTGATCAAGAGGGTCAAGGTCGTAGTAGCAGGTGTCTGGAACTCTGCCAAAGCATCAGTGGGGTGGCTCTGAAAAGAGCCGTTGAAAAAAATGCATGCAGCCGACAGTGGGTGCCGTCAGGGCAGCCGGTGTTAGAGCTGCAGTGGCTTGAAAAACTTGTTGATTCTTGTTTGAACGGCGTTCCGCTTGCATGTGATCACATTCGCCTCGATCTGAGCAAGGGTCATGTCATCACTGTACACCGATGACAGCGTCATCAATGCTCGCATCAATTCGGTGGTCGTAGGTGGCGCAGGCATTGGTTGCTCATTTTCGGCATCGTAGTCGTCTGAATCCGCCATAACCTGACTGACTATTTCGTCATCTGTTAGCTTTGTGCAGAAGTCGAGCTCGTTGTCAGCGTCGATGAACCGCTCAAAAGTTATTTCTGTGGCATGGAAGCACCAGCAGAGCGGAGGTCGTTGATATTATCGTCCATGAGAGGGCACAAGTCAGTCACGCTGTCGCTTTCTTCAGGCAGGTGTGCTGCCTCTGTGTCGAGTACGAAGCCCACGTGGTGAAAGCAGTCGCGAAGCTGTCTTGCGTTACTGCCTTCCATGCGTCAGCAAGCATTCCAACAGCAGATCGAAGGTCAACGCTGTAACCTTTCCCGTTTTCCGAGCACAGCACCATGCGGTTGAGTAAACGTGAACGGTACAAAAGTTTCAGATTATGGATAACGCCTTGGTTCATCGGCTGAAGGATCGCAGTCATGTTGGGCGGCCTAAATTCCAGCTGGATAGCCTTCAAGTTATTTATGTGACCATGAGCAGTGCAGTTGTCAACGAAGAGCAGAACACGTCTGTTCTGTTGTTCAAACTTCCTGTCCAACCTGCAAACGTAACTCTCAAACAACTGCTGCGTTACCCATGTCTTTTTGTTTGCTTCGTATAACACTGGCAGCGTTGCCCCTTTGAAACACCTCGGGCTTTTGGACTTCCCGATTACTAACAAAGGAAGTTCCTCGCTGCCAGACATGTTGCTGCCGACAAGAACGGTCAGCTGTTCTTTGCTATGCTTGCCACCATGGCATGCGTCACCAGCAAAAGCGAGTGTTCTTTCCGGAAGCAGCTTGTAAAACAAGCCAGTTTCGTCGCAGTTGAAAATGTCAGCAGAGAACTGCTGCAACAAAGACTGGAGTTTTCCACTGCGGTACTGCGCAATAACTGCACTGTCGACGGCGCCACTTTCGCCACACATCTTCTTGAACTTGAGGTCATTCCGATGCTTAAAGTTTCTCAGCCATCCATCACTGAACTTAATATCTGTGATGCCCATTCAAAGCGCGAGAGTTTCCGCTTTTTGTTTCAAGATGCAGCCCGAGACTGGCAACCGCTTAACAATCATTGAATTAAGCCACACGACGAGAGCGTCCTCAAGCTTTGGATGAACACCTTGGCTTGCATTCATTTTTTGGGCACCATACGGTTTTTCGACTGCTTTCAAGATCTTGTCGTTTTTGTTTCTCAGGAAATCAGAAACTGTTTGCTTGGAAATGCCAAACTCCTTGCTCACGTCAGCCTGCGATCGGCCACTCTTCACTAACTTAATAATGGCGTCTTTCTTCTCCATCGTTTGTCGACGGTACTGTTTTTTGCACTTTGCACTTCGATGCCATCGGTAAGACGACGAAGACGGAGTGGGGGGCCATCGCAGGCAAGCGAAATCGTCACGAGGTGAACAAATGAGTTTGCTGACGAGCGTCGAAGCACCTAGGCTTAGCGATGCAGAGCACACTTCACACGATCGCACAACCACGCATTAGGCTAGCCAAACATCGTGTGGGCTGCGTAAACAAAACGGCACAACGGCAGGCGACGGTGCCTCGAGTACTCCAGAGGTGGTGCTTTTAAACATTCAAGATAGCCAGCGTAGCCAGACCAAATCGGTGTGTGACGTTTAGTTCTAGTTCAAAGTGGTGAAACGCTTCGCGAAAGCACTGCGCGGGAAGCTGGAGTGGCACGCACGAGCACAAGCGCTAAAGGGAAAGGAACTTTAGTGGTGCCAAAAAATTTCCGGTTGGATAGTTTCGATTGTCAGCGAAGCACCCTTGCACGATAAACACGGCTAGCGTTAGGAGTCTCGGAGGTTGTGTGTGTTTCTTCGCTAACTATCAACGAGTCCAAGCAACAGATGCCGTCACAGTAGACCGGCGTGCTCATTTATGCGATCATAATCGCGTGTGACGCAGTTGGGGTGATTTTCACTGGAGGTCAGTGGTGGTTTCCGACCTTCTGTCGCGTCAAAAAGTCTGGAAAATTGGACTTTCCTTATACATTGATTCTATGGGGCTCGTGGCGGTGCCGCAAAGATGTCTGAATTATCGGGCATGTCCGAAAATTCGGGGGTCTGAAAAATCGGCACTTGACTGTATCTTATTTCGTGTTGAAGGAACAGTGGCTATTGCAGTTACTGAGGTTACATATTCTAAATGAAATGATTAAATCTGAAGCAATGTTTTCTGAAGCGACATACTCACAGTTACTAAATTAATTTAGATGCATTAGAAAGGCATAGCTCTTCCAGTTTGGTTGGTTGTGATCTTGAGGAATCCGAGTAAAATGTGTTCACAATTCTTAGTTCCGCGAAAACTGATCGGTGTGCATGGCTTTATCTCGGGCAAGACGATACCGAAAATTTGCAAGGGCTGCAGTTATGTAAAAGCAAGATCGGTAATTACCAGGTGGGCACATGCTAGATGGATATTAAAAGATTTCGCGGGTCACACACAGATGCACGCGCTGAATTGTAACTACCGCAAGCGCGCCGCGTGTGCAATTCTATAGGCGCTCGTGAAAACTGACCTCCATTGGTGGCGCCGCAGCGGCTGCTCGGGAACTAGACCTGTCTTGCCGGTTTTGGAGCACGTGGCGGGCTGTACCCGTGCGCTCTGTCATCCAACAGCCGTGACACAGTGCTGGTTAAGTGACCTTTGCCGCATTGCAATAGTGCTTTTCTAAAAGGCTCATCATATATTGGAAGGGGTTTTTAGCATTAGTCACGTGACACAGCTCATTTTGTTCAATTATTCATGCGCCTATAAGCCACATAACTGTGAATACTAGTACGACAGCTGACTTCTAAAAATATTATGGCAATCATCTGAAACAGGGTATGACATTGCTGGCGTCATAAAAGAAAAATGTGTGCCAGCTTTTTTTTTTTTTTTCGCCTCCCTAGCTATTGCTCAGTTTCACTAATCCCCTGATTTTCAAAGTTGCCAGTTTGGTAGATCCATATACGAATTTCAGAGTATGCGCAAATGCTAATTTGGGCTTCTTCATTGTTTGCTCAGTAGGGTGGTTCAAAGTACTACTTTCATTTTATTGCAATACCAGTGCTCATGTTTACTCTGCACGACTCAGGTGTTGTTGTATGGTTTGTATGATCAGCGTCAAATGAAACTT